CCCCCCGTCTGCCCTTTGTAGAATGAAGCGTTCCGTCCAGAGTGATCATCATCTGTGACCCTGACGCCCTTTTCTTCCGATCTCTAGGTGTGTGTGGACAATGTGTGCACCGAGCTGGGGACGGTGGTGATTGTTAATCTCCTGGATCCAGTGCTGGGAATCGTCCTGGGAACGGTGGCTGCCATATTGATCTGCCTGACATTGGCCTTCCTGATCTGGAAGCAGCAGACCTCAGCGAAGAGGAAGAAAGGTGAGAAGTTGGGATTTTCGATATCCGCGCTCACAGAGCAATGGGGAGAGTTGTGATTTGATCCTCATCCTTCTTCTGGGTTTTTCTTTTTTTGCAGTTGTAGAGAATTTGGAATTATTGATAAATAATAACAGAGACACCATCTCCTCCCCGATCCATCCCACCCACTCGCTCCACATCGACTACAGAGAGTCTTGTAAGAGGAAAACTTTTATTGTATCATTAACTTCGAGCTTTCGTTCTACTAAATATTGACACGTTTTATAGATCTGCCTTTCTTCTCCTGACCTTCCCTCTCTGCTCTTTGCTGTGCTGGGGACCAATGGTGTTCATCCTGATTGATCAGTTCTTCTCCTGACCTTCCCTCTCTTCTCTGCTCATGTAGATATTCCTAGCAGCAGCTCTGGCGGGGGGCCCTATCGTGGTGCCATATACTCCCCAAGCAGTATTGGGGCCAGCTCTATGCCCCTTCTCATCACCAATGTACTGGACAACCTGAGGCCGGAGCTGCTGGATGAGGTGAAGGACGTTCTGATTCCGGGGAACCGCCTGATCACACACCGCGATCGCATCATTGGGAAAGGTGAGAATGTCAAATGGGCAGATCTCAGAGTGAGACATCACTGGGGGTATTCCTTAAAGGGGCAGTCCACACAGCGGTAATATTTTAGTTGTAGACGAAGCCTTGTGAGTCAGCCTCTGGCTTCTATATGAGTTGAATACTCTCCCCCTGCCATGATTCCCGACTATGTTCTATTCACCCGGAAGATGTGTGTTTCAGCTTCTCCTGCTACATTCTCCATATTATAATGGGCACAGCGGGTGTACAGACCCGGGAACTCAGCACAGGGATGGTGGGAGACCCTCATAATGGGCACAGCGGGTGTACAGACCCGGGAACTCAGCACAGGTATGGTGGGAGCTCCTCATAATGGGCACAGCGGGTGTACAGACCCGGGAACTCAGCACAGGGATGGTGGGGGCCCCTCATAATGGGCACAGCGGGTGTATAGACCCGGGGGCTCAGCGCAGGGATGGGGGGAGCTCCTCATAATGGGCACAGCAGGGGTACAGACCCGGGAACTCAGCACAGGGATGGTGGGAGCCCCTCATAATGGGCACAGTGGGTGTACAGACCCGGGAACTCAGCACAGGGATGGTGGGAGCTCCTCATAATGGGCACAGCTGGTGAACAGACCCGGGAACTCAGCACAGGGATGGTGGGAGCCCCTCATAATGGGCACAGCGGGTGTACAGACCCGGGAACTCAGCACAGGGATGGTGGGAGCTCCTCATAATGGGCACAGCGGGTGTACAGACCCGGGAACTCAGCACAGGGATGGTGGGGGCCCCTCATAATGGGCACAGTGGGTGTACAGACCCCGGAACTCAGCACAGGGATGCTCAGAGTTATATAAAGACAAATGAAATGATGACCTACTTGGGGAATGAGCAGAATGGGAGATCAGATGATTTGTATTTATGAGACTGTATAAGAGGATTGGGGGATTGTGATATTTGTACGTACGATCTCCCGTCTAGACTGACTGATTTGACTTCATACTCTTTCTTTGTAGGACATTTTGGCAGTGTGTACCATGGGACGTACATTGACGAGGAGGGCCAGGAGGTGCACTGCGCTGTCAAATCTCTCAACAGTAAGCACCTGGATCGGGGTTCAGGATGGTTGCTCTGTTCTAGGGGTGATTTAGGGGCTCCACCTGCCTACGGGAGCCGTGCAGTTGGGGCTTCCTGGGACATTTAGACGCCGTCTTATACAATGACTTTTATTGGATGGTAATGCCGGTGTAGAATTGGTCCATTACATATGGACTAAGGTAACACCTGGAGGGCCAGCCAATGAGCAGAGCTGAGGGTTTTGTGGTAGGATATGTGTACCTCTGTATCTGACAAATAAAAAAGAGAAAGGATGTAGGAGGTGGAAATAGATGGAGGTGGATCCAGTGAGCCTGTAGAGTGACAAGGACCGAACCAAATGTGAAGACTTTGTATTATTGATGGAGTTATGTTCTTGCCATTTATGAAGGTGTCTGAGCACTGTGTGTCATCTTCTTAGGGATAACAGATGTGGAGGAGGTGGAGGAGTTCCTTCGGGAAGGGATCCTGATGAAGAGCTTCCATCACGCGCATGTCTTGTCCCTCACTGGGATATTTTTTCCGCAGGAGGGTCTTCCCCTGGTGGTCCTCCCGTACATGTCACATGGGGACCTGAGACACTTTATCCGCAGCGAGGACAGAGTAAGTCCACAATGTATTCCGTTCATTACACTTCCAAGGATCTGAAGATGATTCTGATCAGTGTAGCTCGGAGGTTCCCTCTGCAGGGACTATGATGACCCTTCAGAGATAATCTCCGTATGTGGAGAGATTTCCTCCATCTTTCTACAAACTCTCTGAGAGAGCAGACACGCGCGCTTCGTTCCTTCTGGATTCACCTTCCCCAGCCTCAGAGGAACCCTCCAAATCATTTTCAGGTCTCGGAGACCACCGGCTAAAAATAAATATATGTTCGGGTCACGTGACCCGAGTATGATCCGTGATCTGCAGATATCATCATAAAAAAGCATACGTTATATACCCGGGGATGAAAAAATAATGACTAGAAAGTGAACACCGTAAAATCCCTCGACATTGGAGAAATGTCCCCTATATTGGTGGTCAGCGCAGGAATGCCCTCTCCATAGGTGGTCAGCGGAGAAATGCCCCTACATTGGTGGTCAGTGGAGAAATGCCCCCTACATCGATGGTCAGTGGAGGAATGTTCCTTACATTGGTGGTCAGTGGAGAAATGCCCCCTCCATCGGTGGTCAGAGGTGAAATGCCCCCTACATTGGTTGTCAGCTGAGAAATGCCCCCTACATTGGTGATTAGTGGAGAAATGCCCCCTACATTGGTGGCCGGTGCAGGAATGCCCCCTCCATCGGTGGTCAGAGGAGAAATGCCCCCTACATTGGTGGTCAGTGGAGAAATGCCCCCTACATTGGTGGCCAGTGCAGGAATGCCCCCTACATTGGTGGTCAGTGGAGAAATGCCCCCTACATTGGTGGCCAGTGCAGGAATGCCCCCTACATTGGTGGTCAGTGGAGAAATGCCCCCTACATTGGTGGTCAGTGGATAAATGCCCCCTACATTGGTGGTCAGTGTAGAAATGCCCCCTACATTGGTGGTCAGTCGTGCAATGCCCCCTCCATTGGTGGCCAGTGGAGGAATGCCCCCTACATTGGTGGTCAGCGGAAAAGGGCCTGTTACATTTATGGTCAGTGGGCCAAGGAACCTCTTATAATGATGGACAGCTGAAGAATATCCTTTACATGATCAATGCAGAAATCCCTCCTTTACCTTGGCAGTCAGCATTTGTTATTAGGACAAGGGCCCCACATTGTAGGACCGCTGTAAGTAAAAATGTCCTTCACAATTAATGGTTCCATTAGAGGTTAGTCAAGGAACCCCGAGTGACCTCTGGAGTCTTCCCGGGAACCCTGCCTGACGGAGGCTGTCCTAGATAGTACCACGGATTCCCGCAATGGCTGCCATTAGGGAATTCGCTGACTCTAAGGAGGGAGGAAACCAGTTTCCATAACTGTGCTGGAAATGAAGTGGCCCCGATGAGACGTGTGAGCTTTAGAAGCGGCTGGGCGGTTGGCATTGCAGCTTCTCTCCAGAGACCCCCGGCGTGGTCCTTCCCGGATACGGTCTGCGGTGGGAAGTTTTGTGCCGAGCCGCTGGACGCAGAGTCTGTACCCCCATGACGTGCCAAGAGACGAAAATAATGTTTGGTGTGTCCTGCCAGAGAATTCGGATCCTTAAAATAGAATTAATGATCTAGAAGATTCTTCTCTGAACTTTCAGTGGACGTTGGAAAACTGTGGCTGTGATACGTGGCGGGGAAAATGGTGTGTCTATGGCCAACAAATGTCTCCCCGTCCTTGTTTGCATCTACAGCCCTGGTGCCCGACATGGGGCCCTTTGGTACTTGCTGTGGAGACCCCATAGTCAGTAGTAGAGGCATTCATCTGTACCGAGGCTGTAATGACGGTGATCTCTCGCAGTCTCATGTAGCGTGTCTCCAGTCTCTCACTATCTCCTGCATTCATTGCATATAATGTGTGGCCCTTTGGAGCTGCTAAGGGCCCCCTGCACCCTGCAAGGTGACAACCACTGTCTCTTCCTGTACTTCCCGATATTAACTCTTCTTGATTGCAAATGCCATAAGGGGTACATTGTCAGCAGCAACTTCAGCAATCCTTCATGGGGCCCCCTTCCACCTCCAGGCCCCATAGCAGCTGCATGGGCTGCTATGGCTATTGTTATGCCCCTGTGTGCGGCTCATTGAAGTAATTGTACGCAGATCATGATTTGCCTCTCTGTGCACACAGAACCCCACCGTGAAGGACCTGGTCGGGTTCGGTCTGCAGGTTTCCCGGGGAATGGAATATTTGGCCCAGAGGAAGTTTGTCCACCGGGACCTGGCGGCACGGAACTGCATGTAAGTGATTTAGGGGTTCCGGGCACTCGCAGGAGCCCCAATTTCTCTGACCATTGTACAATAATAGCGAGTTGTCTTCTATGTACTGTCAGGAGACAAACTGCCGAAGGTGGTGATGAAGGGTTTCACCCACCAGTCATCAATCACAGCACTCTGCCTCAGGACTCTTCTCTGCAGTGGGCGGGCTCTTGGGAGGAGTTATGCAAATATCAGTATGCCTTGCTGGGTGGATGTCAGTCTGGAGGCGTGGGCGGTCCTAGGCGTCACGTGTGTGGTCGTGTGTTTCAGGCTGGATGACACGTTCCGGGTGAAGGTGGCGGACTTCGGCCTGGCCCGCGACGTCTTCGACAAGGAATATTACAGCGTGCGCCGCCATAAGAACGCTCGGCTGCCGGTGAAGTGGATGGCGCTGGAGAGTTTACAGACGCAGAAATTCACCACCAAGAGTGACGTGGTGAGAGGGCGAGTGGTGACACACGTGTAACGTGTTAGAAAATCCATCCGTGTATGTGGTATAATAACGACATGATATTCCCCCCCCCCCGCAGGGGT